CAAGGCTTCGCCGCCGCGCCCTGAGGGGTGTGTGCTGGGACGCTCGGCCTTGTGTTGTGAGTTTGTGTGTGTGTGTGTGTGTGTTTTTGTTATGCGTTCAAGACTGGTATCACATCTCTGCAGACAATGTGTCCCGACCGCACCGCTGGCTGCAGCCCACATTCACCCCGAGACATGGACGTACCCAAGCGATTAAAGATAACGGTGGACTGTCATGTGGTTTGGTGTCAGCAACCTTGTTTTAAGGATTCTGAATAAATATAAAGTTTCATCTTGAAAATTCCCGGTGATTTTCAGTATGCAGTAAAGGAACAAATTGATTGGAAAGTAGAGAGTGATTGGGATTTCTGTGGACCTCCACACACCAGAACACGGCCTGTGGTGTGTCAGTGTGTGTGTGTCTTTATGTGTTTTCTAAATTGTGTTGTTGGTCCACACTCAAAAAGCCTCAGTGCTTGATTTAAAAAAGAAAAAAAAAAAGGAAAAAAGCTAATTAACCGATTAAGGCGTAAATGTCTCGTTTGTATAATTGAAGAGTGGGATTCGTTTTAATCCTGCGCGAAACTACAGTGGAGGCATTTATGGTCCGGAATTTACAAGTGCATTACATTTCAGCTTGGAAGGACATGTTCGGGAAACGAGGATTATAAACTCCGTGGCTGCAATCAACCTTTGTAAACCTGTAAAATTGAGCTGCATGAGAAATGGAAGTCCCGGCGCGTACATGTAATCAAAGAGTGCAGTAGCTGACACTGCAGGTGTTTACCATAATCCCAGCAGGGATCACAGTAATGCCCTAGAAAAATTGGACGTACTTCGCTCCGCACTGCTCTTATCAAAACTTTCATCAAATGTTTTGACCTTCCAGGGCTTCTTCATGGAGTGTCATTTACGGGCTGCAAGAAAACACATGCAGTAATTGTCTGCCTCCAACCTACTGAGATGCATATATTAAACCATTCATAAAAAAAAAAAAAATCTTAAAAAAGGTCAAAAATCATTATGGTGCACTTTGGTCAACTATAAACTCTAATATGAATTTGCATTTAATACTTCAAAAATATACTGTGGCTATAGTTAAATCAATTGAGAAAACAACACAGTCTCTGTATAGTTTATCAGGACAGTGTCTGGGCTCCAACTTTTTATTTTAGTTGTGTTATTGTAATTTAATCTCTTTTATATGGAGGTAACTATGTTTTTATATACCCATGAAGTCAGCCGTGCAGCGGTGGTGAAGAAAGAAGAATAAACAGAAATAGTTCTGTCCCACGACTCGCCCGTGTCGGACATAATATCATCAGTGCGAACAGCTGTATTCCAGGAAAAGCTGCTCAATTTTGACAGCGCCTCAGGCAATAAGAGCATCTCCACAATATTACATGATTTCACAGGCTTGGTTTTTATCACCTCAAATGAATAGATGCTGTATGTTGGAATCATATCATCACAATTAATATCGTTTTTTGGCATCAAATATTGTTGTGTTGCCACGGTGGGAAAATAGTGTCTTTTAGCAGGAAAATGAAAATAATAATGATTGATCTTATACTTTGCATTTAAAGGTTGCATCTGCTTGTTTTTCTCTTGATATCATTTGACATTAATGATCGACGATTGCGTAATGTTTTCAACAGATAACTAAATTTTACAATGTTACAATGTTAACTCGATGCCTTATAGTAATAGGATAATCAGTCATTTCCTATTTAACATTTAAGTGTCAGTAATCCTCATACGGCCCGTATTTGTTTGTTGACTTGGTGATAAGACATGCTGGGGTTTAGGCTTGACCCAATTAAAAAAAGAAGTTGTGATATTTTTATTCTAAACTTTATTTTTTTTATTAAAAAACTAAAATTAGAACACCTGAAAAAAATAAAAATTTAAAAGCTTGTTATCAACCTAAGTGTTACTGTAAATACTGTACTGCTGCCATGGATACTATATTTGATTACTGCTGCTTTATTTAGGAGAGCTTTTAGATGACTAATTTGGAAAAAAAAGTACACTTTTTTCCTACCACCACCTCACCATAACCCCTACTGCCATTACCGTAATACACTTATTTTTGACCCTAACACTACTCCCTACCATAGCTCTGCTAACAAAGGTAAGCTAACCTTTAAATATCCTATGACTGCGGAAAAAACCTGTAAATGAAGAGTAAAGACATGAACATGAACTCCACTTAGCTGTTCCTGTAAATGAAGAGTAAAGACATGAACTCCACTTAGCTGTCTTTAGCTTTTAGGCTAATAGCTTTTAGCCTAATAGCTAATGTCAGAGTTGGGTAAAGGCTGTATGCTGCCCCCCTCAGTGCACAGACAGCCCTGATGTAAAAATACTGATACTTTTTACAACTTTTATGGTCTTGAACTGCATTACTGGAACAATAATCACTAATTTACCTGTATATTCAGGAGTGTTAGCTTAGCCTTGCCCTCAGCTAATCCCGGCCTTGTCACCTGTCGCTTGTTCCTGTTTTCAACTGCAGCTTATTTGTATTGTTTATTTTTCTCACTCCACATTCCTACTTGACACCAGCGTGGGCAGAAACCACTGCCTGAGCGGGCGCTGACCTATCAATGTGAAATTGTGTCTACAGTCACTTACAGCAGTGACCTGTTGTCAGCAGCAGCTTATTATCTCACAGATGCTGGGTGTCACCGACCTGCTCCGTGGCGCTCACACTAACGTGGCTGCTCCTTTGTATTGTCACACTGCCATGCGTCTTCGGTGCATGACATGCAAATAAGCCACAGCACTTGGCTTTTTTTTTCCAGAGAATGTACTCTTGCATAAGTTTACCGAGAGGTTGAGTAGAGACTGGAAAAAAAAAAGTGTCATGGTCGGCCCCTGTGGTGTCTGTAACAAATACGACAGGTTCTACACTTGTCTCAAGTAAAATGCATGGTAGAAAATATGAGTCATTGCAGCAGAGCTTTGATTATAACATAAAAAAATCCTGTTTGACTGACACACCCTGAATCTGCCCCTGCCACCAGGGGACTCCAGAATCAATTCCACTCAGTCCCTTAACCTGAAGTTGAGCTGCGTCAGGAAATCCGGTGTGCGAATTCCGCCAAATTACTTTGTAGACTACTACTGCCATGCTAACCCTGATAAAAAAGAATCAAGCTGAAACTTATTCAGTAAAATACAGCGTCAGAAACTGTAAATATTGTTGTTTTAAATGCTAACTCGACCTCAAACATAGCACAAGCGGCGGTCGTCGCCATCGACGTTTGTACGAAAGGTGCGTGGTGTACAGCTGATCAGTGGCGCAGACATCATGCTCTGACCATTTATTGAGTCTGATCTGCTGTAATAGCCTGTGAGCACCAACATGAATTAAAGATTAAGTACGCTAAAGTCAAACAGGATGGAAACTAGTCAAGCTAATTAGGCTAATTAAATAAATGTAATTCTATGTATTATGCATCATCTGTCGACTCGTGTATCCCTGGACGGAGTTCTCAGAGACATTGACGTTGAAGTCTTTCTCGTTAGGTGTAGTTTTGAGCGTTTATAAATCTTTTATTTTCAGAGGAAATAAAAGCTAAAGACTAGAGTCTGCTGAGTCCCATTCCTCTCATAGCCCAAGGTCTTTATAAAATCCTCTCCAGGAGTGGTGTTAAAAGATTTATTTAAGATCAGACTTGGATGCTTTTGGCTCCACTTTCCTCAAGAACATTGTCTGGTAAAATATTTCATTTCAAGCATTTGAATTTTTTTGTGGTTTTCAAGTGTCAGGTGTGGAAACTCTTGAGAGTCAGGAATGTTTTTAAACTCATGTTGTTGAGGCGGAAATATTTAAGGAATTGATGAATTAAGGTACTGTATAACAACATTTTTTAAGTTGCATATATTTATTTATCTATTTAGAATAGACTAATATTCCTTCAGAACGCCAACAAGAATCAGAACAGGTGACTAAAGGTAAATCTCCTCCTGATCGAGCCGAAGATACCGATACTATGAAGCTGAGCTCAGACACAGCTCAACATTAGCTTGGTGTTGCTGTTGTAATGAAGATCTGGACTTGGGTTGAGCAGGGATTTAATGGAAACGCTAACACAAAATATATGACAATTTGGCTGTTATAACAAAAGGTCAGATCCCTGGTAAAAGGTCAGTGAATTGTTTGACAGCTTAATAACTGTCCGAACAACCAAGATAAACTTCACTGATCTGGTTTGCAGTTTGCATTCTAAAAAATAAATAAATCATTTTTTTAGTTTTCTGCACCAGGCAGCAGGCTGTAGTGTCTCACACCTGGGTGTTAAAGTTCATCTTAATTACGTTTGATTTTCCCTGCTTGCATTTCCCCGAGTCCGCCACATCTGTCCCGTGTAGATGACCTCCATTCCTGCCGACTTGAACAAGATTTTAAATAAAGTTCCAGCGAATTAGGAGCCTTAAATCCTGGGGCTTCTTGCTGACAGAGTCCACGGCTGGTAATCTGGACACACTCGCAGGGCAACTGCGTTTCTTTTTCTAAGCCATCTTTATGAGAAAGTTTGTGTGACTAGATTCCAGTTAGACTTTAATTAACATAGTTAAATAGCTGCGCTGCAATCTCCGGGGACCCTTGCATATTATACCCAAGGTAAGGGAATTACAGAGGCGTAAGGCAGGTAATTAAATGAAGATTGTAGGCCACTGAATGATCTCCTGGGCAAATACTCTGCCCTCCCTCCGTCTCTCCTTCCTCCTCTGCTTCCTCCTCTGCTTCCTTCTTCTAACATTGACTCTGTAGCCCGGCGCTGCAGATGCTCTTCATTTGTACAGTATACCATTTCCTTCACATTCTTCTGCCTCCTCGTCCTGCGTCTTCATCTTTTTTTTTTATTTTGGTCCATTAGCAAATTACCTGCTGATATCTCCCTCCATCCTTCCTCTGCTCTACCTGGCCCTTAACCCTGTGTTTACAAATCCGACAGTAGAGTAAGGGTTTTTCTTAAACAAGGAAAATATATTTTTTTTCCTTTCTTGTTAGAGAGGAGCTGGGCTAAGAGAGAGAGAGAGGAACTGCTGGCATACTGAAGACAAACAGAAGACCTGTGAGCCATCATTTGCACAAAGGTGAAGCAAGGTCATTTGACTAAAGAACGGTGGGGCTGCACATGCCGCCGGCTGTGAGGTCATAAGGTCCGTCTGTCTCCTCCATTTTAAAGCAGTCATTAGTAAAGTGACCAAAGGGCCTTTGTGATATTTTTCCAGTTGTTATCCGGCTTCAAAGATGCTTCAGCTCAGATCAACTGCTTTCAGCGTTTATGTTTAATAATATTAAAAAAACACATTCATGCTTTGTTGTTTATCCTAGTATTTTGTTCTGTCTGGTATTTGGACACGCCATAAAACGCAAGTCTGGTTTGGACAGGTTTGGGCGTCATATTTCCACTCTAAAGCCGTGGACAAATATTGAATGTGTCGTCAAACATTAGCACCAAATCGCTTACATTCATTATGTATTTGATGGCAAAACACCAGCAGCTATTTAAATAATCAACACAGCATTAGTGCAGTTATTGAATTAGTTAGTCCAGGAAAAGCTGCGTAAATTAAAGAGGAAGTAGACGTCGGTCCTTCTACGTTGGACAACATTCTGTCCATGTCCAGCACTGGTCCTGTCAGGTGTTTGGACATCAGTGTAAATATCTAACCTGAAGATCCAATTTGAAGATAACGTGTGTTTGATGTGATTTGCACCGTCTGTCATCACCTGTAATTGGATGGACGGCATGGTATAATCTGATCCCTCGGGGGGCGATGTTCTGTCAGCCACTCGTCTGTACATGCAGCATATGTGACGTTTCAGTGTACACTATTGATCAGTCAGTCAATTAGAGTCAATGATGTAACGGCTCAGCTCGTTAAGGTGGCATCACCTGTTCTGAAGATGATGTGTGATGACCTGTTGAATACCTACTGTATGTGAGCGTTGGGCCTTGTCCAACTGGGTACATAATTCCTGCAGTTAGTCATGTGACATTCAAAAAAAAAAAAAAAAGGATTTGATCATTCCTTTCCTGTTTGCACTCTCTGGTAAACTGTCATTTACTCACACATTTGTTTCTACAAGTTTCAAACATGTTTTCCAGTTTCTGCTGCTTTTATCTCAGTCAGTGTGCTCTCTGTGGGAGATAGGGCTCACAGATACACACACACACACACACACACAGCAGACACACACATGAGTGAAGACAACAACAATTTCCAGCAGTGATCCAGCCAGCTAAAGCCAAGTGTGAAGGAACAAATTGAGCCATTTCCAAAGTTAAACTCTGCTGCGTTTGTTTGCAAAAACGTGCAAAGAATCTTAGGTAAAACAGAGAGGAAATAAAACCAAAAACATTCCCTGGCAAATGAACAATAAAAATATACATATAATCATAGAATAAAGTGCAATGAGATTTGTGCATTTGCACATGAAAACCATTTGGGTAGAAAAATAAAAAGTATTATATTATACTATGTTATATTATTATATTATATTATTTTGACCTGGATAATATAATATCCAGGTGAAAATAATATAATATAATATAATACTTTTTATTTTGACAGTACAGTCTTTTAAAAGACGACGGTGGGCGAAGGTACAATCCATATACCTTCATTAGCTCTAGTGCTAACATTAATCTGGTTTGGACAGGGATTAGCAGCTCTAGTTGTTTCAGTTCTTTGTGCCTTTTTATTCCTGTTTTGTAAGTATGGCTCATTTGCAGTGTACTGTGAAAACTATGTCACTGGATGGATTATTCACAAGGTTTGAAAAATCCTTTAGAAATGGACAATAGCCGCCTCACACTGAAGCAGTCTAACTGGGGCAGAGACATAAACAGCCTGATCCTGAACGTACACAGTGCAGTCAGTGACAGCAGCGACCTCTTGTTTCTGTCTTTTAACCTCCTCTGTTTTCACACCCTTCGGTTGAACAACTTTTTGGCTAAAATCAACTGCAGAAGGTCAAAAATCATCATGTTGACCTTTTAGGAGAATAGACGGCGTTCTAGTGGATGAAGGCTAAGCTGTTGGACAAGAGTGGAACTGTGTATTCAGCATTTAGTCAAGCTCCCAATTCATATTCATTCGGTAATTTAGCTTGGAGAATAGGCAACACTTCATTTGTGATGTTCTGCAGAGCAGTGATTCCCAACCTCTGTGCCGTGGCACACTGGTGTCCCGTGAGAAATCATCAGGTGCGCCGTGGAAAATGGTCCACTTTAATTGAATTTGTCTGAATTTTTTTTTTTTTTTACAATCAGTTTGTCTTTGTTCGTCAATGTGACAGTGAAAGGTCAAATTACTGAGTACTCTACCATTTGTTTTTCTTCAATTCCTGTGAGTATGTCAGGGTTCCGTTCAACTAAATTGATGCCAGTTTTACACAATGTGAGTAAATTGAAATTAGAAGATCATTATATTTCATTATAACTTTTGGGGGCGTCATTGTTTGCGGATGTGCAGTGGGGGAATTTTCGAATGTAAAATATGTTGTGGCTGAAAACCGGTTGTGAAACTCTGCTGTCTGTTAAATGTGTTCTGTGAGAGTGTGAAGTAGACAGCTGTGGGAGGCACGAGGACGTTCATCTATATTTGGATTTTCCCATTAGTCTTTACACAACATGCTGTTTACAAAAGTGTCAGTTTGAGTAAGAGGACAGTGTGGGACTGTGTCCCCAAATTTATTTACCAATGCTCGTATCCCCATGTGACTCCATATGTCCAATCCATCCAATTGTCTGGCACACATTATAGCTTTGGGAATTTGGGAGTTTTCACATTCACTAGACCAAAATATGTGGGCTGTCTTTTGCAAATGGAAGAATATAAATTAAGCTTTTAACTATGAATCCTCTTTTTTTCCAGGGTGAATTGAAAAAATTAAAAGAACATTCGTACAAGTACCTGGGAATCTGTGTACTGCTGAGCTCACAGAGAGGCTGCCTTAAGGATGAAGACAACGTTCTGGGCTCCAAAAGTACTTTCAGGTATGTGATACTGTACTGAAGCACAGTTACAGGAATTGAAAGTTACATTTGTGTGTTGGAAAGTTGAAGTCTGGAATGGTCCGGCCTAGTGTATATAAAGCTATATTTATATATATCTTGGTTACAAATATTTCACACAGCAGAAAAAGGTTTTAATTTCAATTCAATACCATCTGTGTCCACTCAGAGCTTCTCGTTTGGCTTTGGACAGCGACATCTTGACACAATAGATCTCACTAATTAGACAGCTAATTAGTCTGTAATGAGCTCAAACACCTGTGAATTGGCCACTTAGTGTTCCGATGAAAGGAGGCACTGGCTGTGGCTGTGAAAACGCTTTGTGTTTGCAGCGAACAGACAGAAATGGATCTCGCTGCAGGTGTAGAAAACGGAAATTCCATTTTTCCTAGGATAGTAAAAGCACCACTGGAGCTACTGTACATGGTAAGCCAATCAGATGTATGCAAAGTAATATTCATAGATGGCCCTTATTCATTACAAACTGAAATAAATTTTCTTTTTTTTTTTACTTGAGTTTAGTTCATTGCAGGCAAAATAGCCCTCTAGTGGAGTGACATGGTAATGCTATTACAGGGATGACAAGCGATGATGCACCTTGCTGCCTCACAGTTGTGGGTGGGAAAAGTAATCATTGCACAGTGATGGAGAGATTGAACAAAGAATTAGAAACCACAAAATACCTACAATATCAGTAAATGTCTGAGCGCAGCAGAGCGTATAAATGTAATAATTAAATACTGCAGTTAGAAGATACTCTTTCAGACAATTTGTCTTATAAACCCAGCGAGAAAAAAAAGGCATTCAAATAGGAGCGAGTGTGTGTTCAAACCCAGTTATCCATCCCCAGAGATGCTGTGATTCCATGGCAGATGGTGGAGGTGAGAAGCAGCAGCACACTGTGCATTGATCATTACTTCCAACAAACTCTGTTTTTATGTGTGTTTCCCAGAGATTGAAGCAACACCCGGTTTAATCATTCTGCGTGTTAGCTATGGCAGGTGGTTTGTAGCCAGGCGTGTTAGATGTTAAATCCAGCTCCTGTTGGGTTTATTGATCTTTTATCTTTCAAAAAGTAGCAGACAGGTCTTTTGTTTTTGCATCTGTAAACACTGATGACAGTGGTGGGCTGGGAACCTGATGCACATATTGATCAGAAAGCAAGATGGCAAGTGGGTAGGGCAAAAAGAAGTGGGGATATATTTTTCCCGGAATTTCAATGCACTATTTTAAAAATGTCTTTATCTCAGAGTACTCATCGAAGACAGCGTGAAGAGTGAAGTGGACGTTTGTTTCTGTACACTCTACACTCCATGTCTGCAAAAGACAGCCAGTGTGAGAGATTTCCCCCGTGAGAGGTAAAAGTCTAAATTAGGTCCTGAACTCTCTGGATTTGATGTTTCCCATTGGAAGTGCAGTAGAGGCACTGACTGTGGCTGCAGACCATGACTGTAACACCTAGAAAATAAAGCATAACATACCAGCTTTGACTGTGTGGACATGTGAGGAAAAAGAAATAGTTCTTCTTTGTTGAAACCGTACTAAACCTCAGGAAAATCAAGGCACTGCAAATGCATGCATTAATAATAATGGTCACGGTTCTTGCTTAGATCATCATAACTTCCTGTTTCGGCTGTGTTGTCTGTGATAAAAGTATTTCGGCCTAAAACCAAAAATGTACTTTGCTATATATACACATATACTATATATAATATTTTGACATTTTTGATTTGATTTAATACTATTTCCAGGCACTTGCTTGATGCAAAAGTGTATTGAGCAAGGAGATCTTTGAGGAGGCAAAGTGACTTTTAATGAACCGGCCTTCTATTGATCTGTGCACAAAACAGTCATTAATTATGTGCGAGAGGGCATTTAATTGAGGGAGGGAAACAAGGTCCCTGCAAGCAAAGCCAATGCCTGCTGGTGAATTAGTAGCGTTTGATTGAGCCCTGTTTTATTGGGGTAAAGGATAAGACACCAGACATCATTCAGCCAGTGCTTCTGGATTTTTCCTTCTCTCTCTCTTTTTCCCTGTCTTTTGCAATTCCACTCCACAGCCGGTTTCTTTTGTCACCTTTTGTTTCCAAATTAGCATGAAAGTACCCTGGACCTTCTCATGTTCCACACTGCTCTATTTGTCTTCTGTTGTGCACAGTTTGACTCACGTCTTTGATTTTTGGACTTCAACAAATGGCAGCGGGGGGGGAGTGCCTCAAGTAAAAGACGCTATGGAAGAAAAGCTCACTGTTTTGCACGTGCTGTGCATGTGTGTGTTCTCACACACAGGCGTCTGTGAACACCCTTAGTTCTTGTCAGTCAGCATCAGCAAACCCCCACAAAAAACATCCATTTTTATAGTCAATAAATTAAATGGACTTCAACATTTTTGGGTATATTGTTTCTCCACAACAAAGAAGAATAAACGCAAAAATAGATGTGTTTCTAATGGTGATGTGATTCCTCACCCTTTATTTACATGTTGCTTAAGCAAGACAGATATTTTTCTCCACTTTTTTTGCACGACATCCTATAAACAGCACTAATCGGCAGATAATCCAAATGACAGTATTGGACACGGACGTTGTATCGGTCCTCCCCTAGAGTGTGACGGTAGGTGATAACTAATAAATTATTACATTACAGAACTCTATATTATATAGACGATTTGCTGCCACCTAGTGGCTGGAGGCTTATCATTAAGGAATTACAGCAGTGGTACACTTATGTCCACCATGCCATGTTCCATTGGAAGCCCCTCAACGCCCCCCTGACACCCCAGGGGGGCCCGCCCCACTATTTGTGAAGTACTGACCTAGAGGGACATATGGCTAATTGAAAAAAGCAGTTAAAGTTGCTCAGATAAGCCACGCTAACAGACCGTTATCCAACTTTTTGTTCTTTCTACACAAACTTACTGAGGCGTCTGTGGTTTTAGGGCCACAGAGGGTGAAATCCTCAGAGATGATGAGTTTTAGTTTCGTGATCAGGGAGCGGAAGTTCAGCATGATTCAGACGCTCATTATAAGAGACTTATTTATCTCCCTACCTTTAAAAGCATCAGGGCTGGCATCTTCAAGCCCCGGAGCTGGCAGCAATTACCAACTCATCAGAAGCTTTTCTTACGCCTGTTCTGTTATAGAAGGATGTTGGAGCAGACTCGAGGTTGGGGTGCTGGAAATATAATGGAATTATTTCGGTGGATTGGATATTATGTGGAGGGGGGGGGCAAAAAGTCATTTCACAGTTTAAAAATAAAACATGAAGTGTTTTGTTGTCTGGAGAAGCACAAGTGATGTCACATCTGTCTGTCTGTCTGCCTGGGAGCCGAACTTTTTCACCCGCTTTTCTGTTCCCAACACATCCATTTTCAGAAAATAGCGAAATATTGCAAAATGCACGGCATGTAAGAAGGAGCGATTTCAAGTGTCGCGAATAATCGTGGAGTGAACATCCTAACTATCGGTTGTCAGTGTTTTAATTATCATGTTTTTATTGTCATGCTCTAGGATGGATGTCCACGTGTTGTTGAAGGGATGAAACAATATACAATTGGACTGAAGACAAAATGAAAACCTGAATAAGTATATATGTATATATTGATACTTGTATGTGTATACAGTCTATTCCTCTGCTGGTTTGGCCATAATTTCCCTTTGCTATTTGTAGGGCTATTACTGTCATAGCAACCGGACAGGGTGTCATTACATAGCTAGCAGCTGCGTGTGTTTGATTATTTATTTGTTCGTTTGCACCCATGTTGCTGCTGTCACGCAGCTGTGTTTGTGTACAAGCATGAGCTGGCTCGCATTTTGGGTGATTATGTGTATATGTGTATGTAGTGGGTATATGCATTTTTTGTACATCTGCATGTGCAGCCTGTGTATTTGTCTTGTGTGTGTGTGTGTGTGTGTGTGTGTGTGTGTGTGTGTGATCTCCAGTGCTCTCTTCTCCCAGGGTCCATAACCTCCCATTGCTTTATGATAAATGTGTGCTACTGCGGTGTATGTGTGGCCTTAAAATGAAATGGCCAGCTTGGCCCTGTGGGAGCAGAGCGAACTCTGTTCAGACACATCATTAGTGGAATGGATCTATTGATTGTTGGGGTTTCCTTTTTCTTTCCCTGTAGTTCTGCTGTTTTTCGTTTCAATTAGCTGCATTTTGACACAAATTAAACACATGACCTGCCAGAAGTTAGTGCCAGACTCTAATCCAGTTGGTTTGTTTACTGCTCATTGTCCTGCTGTATTGTGTCGTGGATGGAAAACAAAAACAAAAACAAAAAAACCATGCTAATCAGTTCAAAACACTTGATGAATAAACTACTGTTGATTGACAAATGGCTGATTTTTTTAATATCTGTAATTATTAAAAAAAAAAACATTTTATTTTTACCTGTACTTTACTTGGTCAAATTGTTATTTCTTAGGTGTTACAGTATTACCCTGAGATACGAGCATAATCCGTTCCAGGGCCGAGCTCGTAACTCGAGGTCCTGGTATCTCAAATCACTTTTTTCATAAGTAATAACAGAAAAAAATTAATCCATTCCGGCCCTCTAAAAAACTCCCTTATTAGTGCTAATAACGAGGAAAAAAAAGAGTTTTTAATTGCTGTAGAGACACAAACTCACACAACACATTATAGTATATAAGGATTCCTGTGATATAAATTAAATTGTGGTTTTAATTATGAGTTCTTACCTTCGAGGAGGAAGTAGACACTTGATTCCCTAGCATACCTTACACGTCCACTACGTAACTTACATAAACTTAGTCGTTTTCAATTTGTATTTTTTCTTTAGCGGGAACCACACTCATCTTTATCGACAATTTGTATTAAATATACTTTATTTCCATGGTCATCATGCGTTTCTTCTTCTCACCCCCATCCTTCCCACTCACTCTCTTGGGACTCATCACTATTATGAAGAATAATGCACAAAATAGAGAGAGAATCACGTAGATAACGCCACACAATAC